GGAGGAGGAGACATGGACGGCGCGGAAGGAGAGGCTGTCTCTTATACACATCTAGATGTGTATAAGAGACAGGTGTGTGTGTGTGTGTGTGTGTGTAACACATCAATGCACACATCTGTTAGTGTCATAAGAGTATTTGTTCCATTTGGGTGGGAATTCAGGACGTCTTGGCGGAAACATTCCTCTCTTGTTTTTTGCCAGAGCCTGATGAAACAAGCTATGTATGTGGTTTATCCTTAACGCATACGTGTGCTGGTCACATCACATAAGATAATTTGTTAGGAATTCATTGAAAATGTCTCTGTGAATGAGCATTCCTTTTATGTTTTTCGGCCCAGTTCAATGAGATAAGCCAATGTGCTCTATCAAAATGTGTGCTAGCAGCAACGTCAGAGAATTTGTTGGGAATTCGGTATGTCTCTGTGAACAAACATTCCTTTTGTGTTATCAGCCCTTTGTTTCCCCCGTCTCCTATGAGATGAGCTAACCATGGTTGTATCCGTAAACCAAACGATGGTTGCCCCAGAAAAATCCAGACATCCAGCCAGATGGGAGTCTGGTTCGATCCGGACGGCCGGTTATATCCGGACAGGAATCCGGACATCTGGAACCAGACGGTCCAGATGTCTGGAAACTTTGTCTGGGAAAAAGAAAGTTTTAAAAACAAAAGAACGTTTTAAAAACAAAAAAAAAAAAACGTTTTAAAAACAAAAGAACGTTTTCAAAACAAAAAAATCGGGTTTTCGAATGTGTGATCTGGAATGCACTCTTTTTTTCCACATCATAATCGACTGAAGTTACACCGAAAACTGAAGTGTGTCTTGAACTTTCTTCACAGAGCTGCTGCCGTGCTTCGCCATTCTGAAGTCAACTAAACAAAGACAAAGCACAAATGTTGTTGGAGCCACTGCCTCCCATAAGTCCCGCCCACCCTTTCCCCTCCCAACATTATGTAGACAAAGCAATTGATTGATTAATTAATCGACTGACTGAGTGACTGACTGACGAACGGATGGATGGACGGACAGACGGACGGATTGATTGTTGACGACGCGGCGTTCTGGCAGTGCCAAAATGGCTGAAGAATGCTGCCAAGAAAAGGAAAAAAGATTACACATTGATCGGCACCTGAAGCGAAACGCCCTCGAACAAACAAACAAACAAACAAACAGAAGAGCCTTACACCCTCATCGTCCTCAACCCCACTCCTCATCCGCCAGGGGGGAAAAAAAAAACTCACCTGCATCATCCTCCCCTTGTAAGGAACAACGCTAACTCATCGTCCTCAACCCCCCTCCTCATCCGCCAGTGGAAAAAAAGAAACTTACCTGCATCATCCTCCCCTCATAAGTCCCGCCCGCCCTTTCCCCTCCCAACATTACGTAGACAAAGCAATTGATTGATTGATTGATTGATTAATTAATCGACTGACTGAGTGAGTGACTGACGAACGGATGGATGGACGGACAGACGGACGGATTGATTGTTGACGATGTGGCGTTCTCGCAGTGCCAGAATGGCTCAAGAATGCTGCGAAGAAAAGGAAAAAAGATTACACATCGACCAGCACCTGAAGCGAAACGCCCTCAAACAAACAAACAAACAAACAAACAAAAAAAAAAAAAAAAAAAAAAAACTTACACCCTCCTCTTATCTTCTCTCCCTCTGTACCCTTCATAGCC